GGATTTCTTCTGAAACACATATCTCTGACAGTATGACAACATATCTGTCAGATCCTTTACAAAGTGACCAGCTTCCTGCTCTAGAACTTTTACATTAAAGTATCCCAGCTGAATGAGGTTACCTGGAGACAAAACATAGAGAAACAATGAGATAAATGATCTAGGAATTATAAACTAAGAATGAAAATCCAGCAGTGCAGTTACATCCTAAGAACTGATTCTGTTCACCAGTCCACCATCACTGTTCTGCAAATCTAATACACACTCCAAGAAGTGTGTGTATAAAGCAAACACACATGCTTACCCAGTAAGCACAGAGTGTGGCTTCCCTCCAGACAAACACAGATATCCAAACATTGCTCCTCTCGACTTAAAAACAAGACAAACTTGCGGAAAAGGTCATGGGTCTGGATGGTGACCATACACTGCAAAGAGCACAAATTCAGACAGGTGAAATAATATTCTCGCAATTTTTGTTTTGACTTTGTAACATGTGTGCAAATTAGGTGTTATTATCCTTCCAGATGTGTTTGTTTCTTACATCTGGTGTGAGCATGTTGAGGTGCGAGATGAATGCTGGAACAGACATGACGTGGAGAAGGAAAGACCTCAGCAGGTTGTCTGAGAAATGTGCAGCGATAACAGGCCTGAAACACACCAAGATCAAAAACACATCACATTATCGGTTACTTCACAGAAATAGAGCTCCTAATGTAATCAGACTGTGAGATGTCTCAAAGAGCAAAGCCAGTTCTCATGGCAACCGACCTGAGTGACAGTGTAAAAATGGCCGTGAGTGTTCCTTTGGAAAGGGAAGGTCTGGATCTTGCCAGTCCATTTGTAAGTAGAATCTGCAAACAGCAAAGATGCTTATTATGTAAAATGTTTAAAGCTCAAACTCTAAGTTCAGGCTAGATTGGTTCAAACTAGAGCATTCAATCGGTTAATAATTGTAATCAAATAACATGATTTAGATATACTGTCTAATATGTTGGAGTCAAAAAGTTTTTTTTAAGAAATTAAGTGACGTGACGTGACATGTTGCCAAGTATGGTGACCCATACTCGGAATTAGTGCTCTGCATTTACCCATCCAAAGTGCACACACACAGCAGTGAACACACACAAACCGTGAACACGGTTTTAATTAATCAAAAGTGACAAAAAAAATTATACATTGTTAAAAAAGATTTTTTATTTCATATAAATGCTGTTCTTTTGAACTTTCAATCATGAAAAAAACAAGCAACTTTTTCCAACACTGATAATAGTAAGAAATGTTTCTTGAGCACAATAGTAAGAAATGTTTTACTAACACTTTATTTTATAAATTGCACTAAAATAAAGTGTTACTAAATCATTTATTTTACTAACACTTTATTTTAGTACAATTTATGCCTTCGAATTCATCTGGGAGCTTTTCACATCAACACTTTTTAAAAATGTTTTTGAAAGAAGTCACAGCGTTAACCACATACTAAAATTAATTCAAATTATATACTACCAGCCCGTGACAAAATTCTGATTGGCTGTTTGGGTGAGTAGTACCTGAAGAACAGAGTAGAAGCCCTTCTGATTGAGATGTCCCATGATGTTCTCACAAATTCTGTTTAAAGCAGGCTTGAGGGCTTCTCCTTAAGAAAAAAAGAGAGGAAATTATAGTAGGGTTCTATGTATTTTAACTTGCAAATCATCTCAACAGCTCTGATTACATGTGACACAAACCCTTCCCTCGGATGATTTTCCATGTCGATGTGTCAGTGAAGGTTATCAGCATTGTCAGGTACAGCGTCACCAATTTATTATCTTGCAGTATGTCAGGCTGCGGGGAGAAACGGAAAGCAGGAAATAAGCATTCTTCAAGAAGCACTTCCTGACTTGTATGAACAGATAACTGAAAGACTCAGAACTAAAAGAATGTGCCAGTATGGCACAAAATAATTCAAAAGATATTCAACAAACAGATCAGATGTGTATTAACCATTATTATCACAAAGAAATACCTTCAGTTTCTTCAGAAATTCACAAGAGACCCATAGCACATCTTTGATCTGTTTCAGCCAGGGGATGGTGAGATCTTTTGAAAGCGCCAGGGATACATACCATACCTAGAAAAATAATAGCTTGTCACAACAATGCAAACTTGCGGAACTATTATAACATAAGATATGATAAAGTATGTTTCAGTCATTGCTTGGTTAAAAACTTACTTTAGGTTCATTCTCGACATCCATGCTACTTAGTATGATTCGACACAGCTTCTCAAACCTCTGTGTAAGAGAGAGAGAGAAAAAAACAATGCCATCAATAATAATACACAACATTCACAAAAAGTGTAACTGTTCACCTAATAAACAAATCCTATAAAAATCGTAATATTTTATGTGATGCTCACCAATTTGTCATCCTTGCTCAATATAAATAACAATTTCCTAGCGATTTTGAAGATGAATAATGCATTTCTTTTCGCTGAACCTGCATCGCTGACTGCGATGAAGTCATCAATCTCTTTCCTGAAACAGAAAATAAAAAAGTTATAAATCTGTGTCAGAGTACACACTACACTAAGAATACATTTTCAAATATTAGCTACTGTGAATGCCAATAAATTAAATCTAAAACTGAAATAAAATTAATTAAAACTATTTAGAAATATTTTAAAAGGAAAAACTAATAAAAATGACAAAAGCACATAGCTAAATTAAAAAATAATCTCAAATTAAAACTGAAAAAAAATAAATAAATACTAATCAAATTCAAAATATTAATAAAAGTTATAATAGTATATTAATAATACTAAATTAACACTCGCTCAAACAAACAGCTTTTTTTTTTTTTGCAGTTAAATTTTTTATTGTTTTCCTTAAATATAACATACCAGTACAAACAATAAATACATAAAACACTGCGTGTATAAAACAAAACAGAAAAGAAAAAAATACAGAAATTACACTGTAGAGCACAACAGGGTAAACAAGTCCCAATTCAGACATGGTTCTAATATCAGTTGTCCTTTGAAGTAACAATCTGAATAAAATTCTCCCACAACAAACAGCTATTTTTTTTTAAATAATGTTAACATTATTGAAAATATCAATGTGCAAATAACAGCAAGTATTTTAGCACTAAAAGAATGCACCCTTAATTTTCCTGTGTTGTTTCATTCCTAATTTTTTACTTTTTTTTTATCTCTGGCCAACAGAGTCAGCAAAGACCTATGACAATCTAGAATGGTTTGACTATTGTAAAGAACGGCTCATTTCAGCCCTAACCTGATTTCTCTTTGCAGTCTGCAACGGCAGAGGAATCTTCTGACTAGAGCCTGGATTTGTGTGGCAGCTCTCTCTTTCTCCTTATGACCTTTCCTTTCCTCCCGTGCTATTCTGGATTTATCCAGGAACTGGGATTTGGACATTTGGGTAGCAGTGAACATGTTTTCACTCCAAACTGTGGGTTAAACATTATAAAAAATGTCATAGCCAGGAACAAAAATCTACATCACACCTGAGAGCAAACACAACGTCAGGGGCTATGCATGCAAGTACAGGAAATTAGATTCAAAATTATTTTCAAACCATGATAAATAAATTAAGAAAATTAATGTCTCTCATTTACAATTTCAAATCTATCTTACATAAACACACACACACGCAAATTACCTTGCCCTAATGTAGTGACTGGTAATACTTCTGCTTCCACAGGTCACATGAATACTATCACATATTCACACTTGTTGTTCTGGAGGTCCACTGGACTCTACAGACAGAAGAGTGATTTTCTTTTAGACATTTTATTTATGTTAGAACATTAGTAGCACTTCTTTACGCCAGCACAAATGATCCATTGATTTAGGCACATGAGTTGTTGTATTAAAGTTACTGAAGATGATATGTTATAAATAAAAGGAATATTTGACTTTGCCTTTTAAAATAAAAGACCGTTTTAGACACACCAACAGATCACAAAGCAGAAAGTGAAATCAAGGAGTATCTGACAGCATTTTCAGACCAAAACAGAGCAGTCTTTATCATTTACTCAAAATATAGAGGTGACACTTAGATTACACAACAGGATGAGCACTCTACGGTAACACAATTAACATTAAACATCTGGTTTAAATTTGTAGAAAACTTAAACTAAAATAAAATCAGTGAATTGTGAATTAATTGTACCTACAGAGACAATAACATTCACACTAGCTATCCTGCTAGCAAATACTAACACAGTTGAAGCATTCAGCGAGCTGGCAACGCTTGAGAAATGTTGTCACTTGATAACTGTGTTTCAAATGAAAAGTAAAGAAAGTCTTTCGGGTATTCACAAAGATTTCATTTACCTGAGCGTTTGAGAATAAATGGACAATTGATGTAAACAAAAGAGCGACCCAGACACCGCAGCTCTAATCCATTAACGGTGTAACCTCCTAATCCTTCCGGAGGAACAATTTTATGACAAACCGCATTCACACAAGAAATATGGCTCGTATTTTTTAATTGTCGTAGTACATTGATAACGTTTCATTGTTGAAGCGGTATTAGACCTAACAATTTTAAACTGGTTAATTTGAGGTTTGGGACAGCAGAGAGCTGGAATTTTGTACTTAGCGGAACTATTTGTGATACAGCTTGTCTTCTGTTGATGTACATATATTGAATATTTGAACACAACCATGCAATTCACCAACAATAAAAAAACAAACCAACAAAATGTCAAATTTTTAAATGATTTGTTAATGATTTGCAAAATTAGTACCAAATTATTTTGTTGTTTTTAGTTGTGATATGTTGTTGTTGTTTTTTTTGTGTGATATGTATTTTTGATATTTGGAGATACAGTATAACCTAAACATATGTATCCAAAAACATTTAATTTACGGCATCTAAAAAGTGCATGTGACCTGATGTCAACACTACATCACAGTGTTGCACTAATATTGGAAACTGAATCAGAAACAAAGTTCGTTGTATTAATCAGTTTTGTTAAATATAGTACCCCCAGCACTCAAAAAAATAAGTGTATAGTTACAATCACAGGAAGTGTGAAAATGAAATGACAGGACATTGGACAGGTGGAGTTACTTCCCATCTACCGCGCGACCCCTGCACGAGTCCGGGTTGCGACCGGAAGTGATCTAATTCCATCCCCGTTCCAAGAGGCCCGAAAGAATCGGGGGATTTCTATGGTAAATAATGACATTTGTCTGTTATTTCGTCTAATTTATACGCTTCTAATGGTGTATATTTTAAGTAGTATTTATTGCGGCGTGTACTTCGCTTTTTTTTTTTGTAAGTTCTTGTTTATTTCCTTAAAGGAATTGAGAGAACAAGATGGTGTGCTAGTTTAGCGCTTTAGCTCATGTAGGTATACGTTTCTTATGAGTAACTTTAAATTAAATAAGTTATTTTCTTCGTATTCAGTTACGAATCATGCCTATACATAAAACAAATATACAGGAATAAAATGAGTCAAATCTATTGGCTTTGAGTAAAAAACATCATAGCAGGTTTTGGTGTGACGTCATTAAAACGGTCTCGTTATCCTGTGTGAACGGGGTTCTGATTGAATGAGAGATGAGTTATCATGATTTAATGTTTTACTATCTATCAATTTGTCAATGTGTTGCATTTGAGAGAATTTAAGAGACTTCCGGTAATGTTAGAACTAAGTGCAGTACCCCACCTCCTGAAACTCTTGAAAACTTGCATAACTTTTTTTAATCTTTGATATTTAGGACAAACTTTTTTTTTTTTTTTTTTATTATCTAAAGAAATTTACCATTTACCCTCAGTGTGTTCATACACATTTCATAATACTAAAAATTATAGTGTGGTGTGTGTGTATATTTGCAGTATAGATGCATACATACACTGTTAATCCCCTAAGAGAGACTAAATATATTATATATTTTGAGTGTCCTGCGATTTCAAGCCTCTTATGTCACCATGTGTGATTTTCAGGAAGAGATGTCAGGAGAAAGTGTGGTGAGCTCGGCTGTGCCGGCAGCTACAACACGGACCACCTCCTTCAAGGGGTCCAGTCCCAGTTCCAAATATGTGAAGCTGAATGTCGGGGGAGCGCTGTACTACACCACTATGCAGACCCTGACCAAGCAGGACACCATGCTGAAGGCCATGTTTAGTGGCCGTATGGAGGTCCTTACAGATAGTGAAGGTAGATGTACTGTAATACTACTGAAGAAGCATTCACGTAATATTATGAACCATATCGATACAAATGTGTGCTTCTGCTGTGCCCAAGTCAGACTTTTCACCTCTGATCTTTCTCCAGGCTGGATTCTGATTGACAGGTGCGGGAAGCACTTTGGGACCATTCTGAACTACCTGAGAGACGGAGTCGTCCCATTACCTGAGAGCCGGAGGGAGACAGAGGAGTTACTGGCAGAGGCAAAGTATTACCTGGTGCAGGGCCTGGTGGATGAGTGTCAGGCGGCATTACAGGTACAGTACCGGCTACAACACATTTAAAGGTCACATATTTTACACCTTTCTGGAGTTTTATTTTAGGGTTTGTTGTCCTTAAGAATATATATTTGCGGTAGAAGTACCAAAAACCATCTCAATATATTTTTACAGCTCCTCTCTAGCTCTGCTGAGAACTGGTCGATTTTGGTCTGTCTAATTAATATTCATGAGCCTCTCTTCTGATTGGCCTGTTGTGTTCTG